AATATAATTATAAAATATAATTATATTTCAACATGCATTCAAAGTGCTATTTGTTTGGGCAATTGTTATTTCAGACTTTCTGGTTGATTTTCAAGAGAATAAGGAGTTGAAGAGAAAAGAAACTAGTCGGTTAAAAACAATACTCTGTCTCCTGGGTTATTTCAGAATATGATCCAATCTTAGTCTGATTTTGTTCTATAATTAGCACTCATCTGGGATTTTAAAATCTAAATTCATCAGGCAATTGTCAATGATCACTTTGGACTGTGGAGACCTGGTTTGTAATAATTAAACAATGTAATATAGCTGACAAAACAGATGTTTGAAGAAGGTCATGCACACTTATGATATTGAGCTCTGAGTCTGTAGTCAGTATTTCAGAGAGATCGTAATGTAGTGAGTCGGTAACACACTTTTCTTAGACCTCCTTTCTCAATCAATATTTATAAGTTCAAAACAATTGCTTGAAAGTAAAAATATTCTATCTGATTCATTATTTGGCATCATGGTAACCAAAGATAAAGCTTTCTGACTGAATTGAACCCTTTGTAAAAGATGGATTGCAGTCAATATAGTTGTTACATATAGTGGTGCCTATTTCATATTTGACTTAAAATAAACCACAGCTTGAAGTTGTATAAAAGTTAGTTTTGCACTATTGTAGTCCCAAATTTAAATTCAGAATTTAATTGTTTATCTTTTAACAATTTCCAGTCTTCCCTCTTGATTCCCTTGTTAATTATATTTCAACATGCATTTCAAAGTGCTATTTGTTTGGGCAATTGTTATTTTCAGACTTTCTTTTTGGAACACCAATCCATTGCTAAGGTTAGGTGCTGATAAGCAATACAAAAAGGGCATACACCCTTCCTGAACAGTCTTTCCTAATTTATAAACTCAGATTCTCATGGAATCCTCAGCTCATATTGTCTTTAGATTCTCATAGAGTCCTTCTGGTTCTCTAACAATTGCAACAGGGTCAGTGAAAAAGAGGAAGACCCTCAACGAGGTGGATTGACACAGTGGTTGCAACAGTGGGCTTATGGATAGCGAGGATTATGAGGATGGTGCAGGACCGGGCACTGTTTCATTCTGTTGTCTATGGCGTTGCTATGAACTGCAACTGCCTCCATGGCACCTAACAACAACATATAAATGTCATTCAGAATTTCAAAGCTCTCTGCCAATTAACTCTCTGCTAATTTAAACCTTGAAATACCAACTTGCTCTGCCTGATTACTCTGACCAGGCTAACCACATCCAAAATGCAGGACATTTGTTTCAACAAGGCATGCGTACTTCTCAGTTTAGCCAAAGGGATGTGCAAGGAGGAAGCAACGTCCTGGAGGATTTGAGCCTAGGTGTTCCTGCCCTTGTACCCACTGCTCTGAATGCTCCAGTTTAGTGTAATTTTCTAGATTTCTTTGTGTTTTCTTGGCTGCTCTGAAGATTTAAAAAATAAGTGGGAGCTAGCAGTTCAAACCCACCCAGAGACACCTTGGAAGACAGGCCTGGCAATCTGTTTCTGAAAAGTCACAGCCTTGAAAACCCTGTGGAGCAATTGGACTCTGCAGACATGGGGTCGCCCCGAGTTGGAATCAACTTGACAGTCACTAACAAGCAACAACAAATAGTTTTAATATATGTTTAAGAAAATAAAAATTGTTATAGAACTATTTTAGCAAGTCTTCACTCTGACCCACTTCACTTCTGTCCTATTTGTTCCTAGTTATACCTACTCAAGAATGTCAACTGGATGGCAGTTCCAGTCCCAGGACTCAAATTATACTGAGAAATATAGGGAAACAATCAACTCACTGGGCTCCACGAAGAGTTTGGTACCAGCTCCAAAAATCAGCTGTCGGGTGTTCCAGGAGCACATTGTGACACTGCCTCATAAGTAACCAGCCTGGGGCAGCCCTGGGGCCTGGCCTAGAACATCTGTGCCCTGCCTCCCCAGCCCCATGTTTCAGCCTAGAGATCCCCCGAGCTCAGAGAAAAACAAAGCTGCCCTTGATGAGACCAGAGGGCCTAGTGCACAAAGACTCAGTTCCCTTTGAAGCTAATAATGGTTTTACTGCTGAAGATGGATAGGGATGTGAGCATGAAATTGCCAGCTGAGAGGTGCAAGGACAGGGCTGAGATTGAGCGAGTCTCAAGAGGGTGACAGGTGGCTGAGAGCTGTCTTGAAGAAGAAAAATTGAGTTTATGGGAAGGACTCTCCAAGAAGAACACAATAGCTTGGGGTAGAGATGGGGCACAGAATATTGACATTTCTTGAAATGAATGTTAGGCTGAGAAGAGGAGAGTTTAGAAACAGGTCCTATTCTCATACTCTTGTTCCCTTCTCTTGGGTCACACATACTGCTTTTTGATTAGAAACCTAATTTCCCCATCAATCAGACTGAGTCCCACAATAATAACAAATCTGCTTTCTACTTCACTGAATCCAGTGAAGGGACTTGAGGATTGAACAAAAAATTGGTTGCTGTGGGGAGCCTATTGGTGCTGCATGTCATGGATGCAGGTCAGAGAAGCCAATGCTTGCTCTTGGCTGCTTATTTCTGTTTTGAAATTTCTCCTACATCTGGAGCCATATTCAAGCCTCAAGAACAAATAGTAATCATGTGAAGCAGAACT